CACACACACACACACACACTGTGCATGCATACACACACTACACACACACACACACACACTGTAGGCATAGGGCGGTATGAAATTATGACGGTACGATAACCTTGGGCCAAAATATCACGGTTTTGTGGTACGACGGTTTTGTGATTACAGCTCTAAAAGTTTTGTTTTGAAATTTGTACTTAAAAACAAAAAAGAAAACTTTTCTATGATCATATTAGAATATCTGATGACTCCATAACTGGATATTACCTTGACATGTCCTGTTCTGTCTCTCTTGATAAACTGCCATCATATAATCTGTTTCTCATGATTCTTAAGATACTGTATCATGTGATCTCATGGCTCATTTTACTTGTAACTATATCATTGGTTCCTGAATATCTCTGACGCTCTTATTTTGTTAACAGGATGTATATATATTGTCTGTTTCCTGTTTCCGGGTCAGWGTGAGCTTAACAGACGCTTTGATCGTGTCTGTTCTGCTCGGCTCATTTCTTGCATCTTCTAATTAAATAATCTGAGACAGAGACCACACAGTTTATACTTTGTTTATTTCCTGCATCTCTGCCCTGGTGAAATGTTTCCACGACAATATTCAACTTTAATTATCTTTGGAAGCTGTTTTTAGATCTCACAGGTGTTATGATGAAATTTTATTTACCTGTGTGCATCTGTACTTTATTGATTTTTAGCACCTAATGCAATTAGATTATCCTGATAAAGTTTACATCTAACAGGATAACTGATTCTCTATTGCTTTATTAGTTAAGACAAATCAGTGTATACTGCACGACAGGTCTTTTTATTGAAGTAATGCATCACGTTGGAAGTTTTTATTGTGTTTTAAATTTCAAAGGGTTTTTTTGCCATAAAGATTATATAATTATATGCACACAGAAACAAGAAATCACAACTATGAGTGTGTGTTTATGAAACACAAGTTCAGCTAACGAGCTGCTCGGCTAAAGGAGGCATTTAGTTTTATCACCTTTTTTTCTAAACTTATCAAATACAAAATCCAACAACTCAAACAGTTTTACAGACAAACTGTGATCAGTGCAGTAAACCACAGCAACACAGTGATACTGTATGTTTCACAATCTGATGCTAACGTTAGCTCTTTCATTTCCAGATAGTCACATTACTGTCGTCTTTATGGCATCCTAACTATTTKCATGTAGCTGGATTTATRATTTTAGACAGGGGRAATGTTTGGGGAACTTTCTTCTGACAAACAGCTCTGCAGAGGAGTGCAGGRGGAAAGTCTGCAGCTGCACACACCGCAGGAAAAACTAAAAACACTTGTACTGCAGGAACGGTGTGACAGAAAATTTGAGTGGTTTTAAAACCGTGACTTTTTCATATCACAGTATACCTTGAAACCGGTATTCGGCCCATGCCTAGTACACACACACACACACACACACAC